AAGAGGACAGTAAGGCAGTGCAACAGGTTGCTCAGAGAGGTTACACCATATCCATCCTTGGACATTTCAAATCCCACCTGATAATGCCCTGAATAGCATGATCTGACCTCATATCTGATTTTGCCTTGGAGCAGAAGATTGGACTATAGCCCTTCTGAGGTGATCTTTGTTCCCAGTCAAGGTTCATAACGTGAAGAAAATCTTCTGAGATCACGTCAGAAGTTCATACAAGATGGCAGGATAAGTTGTGTGTTTTCACTTTCCTTCATTCTTTTATAAACAGGAAGAATAAAAATGACATAAGTAAACTCATTTTCAAGAGTGGGGATTTCCAGATGTCACCGTATGCTGAATATCCGAAGAACCCCCGGGCACAGGAGTGGGGCAGAGAGACCATCGAGATGCAGGAGAATGGAAGCACCAAGAACCTGTTGCAGATGACAGATGTGTATTATTCGGTATCTATCCATGGCTTAACTATTAATCCTTTGTGCCTGGATTACAGGAAAGACATATTCCTTTATTTTTGGAAGTACAGATCTCCTTCCTGCAAAATAAAAGAGCAAAGCAAATGACTTCCATAGACAACAAGATATTGGGAGTGCTATGGACTCTAGTTATTACATGTGGTGAATACCACAAAGAGACGTCATTAGGAAGAGTGCTAAGGAAATGTGTAGGAACATTTTGGTAGATGCCCAAAAAGCCCAATCCTTGAGTAGAGAAGGACAGTGAAAGGTTTTGGACACACTGCTAGGGATCCCTGTAGGTGGTTTTCTCCCTTTCACCCTCACTGATGATGCTGGAAGGTTGAGACCTCTGCCTGGGGGACTTCACCCCAAGGTGGGAAGAAGCTGGTGACTGAGGACCCCTCTTCCACTCATCCCCTCTCCAGAGTACAGGCCCCTTCCTGCAGCAGGGAGGCTGCATAACGAGCATCCCTTCAGCTCTGACGGAACAAGTGGCAGGGAAGAAGTGGTGGAGGAGTACTAGGCTGCATAGGGCACAGAAAGACACAAGCACAAGACCTGCTGTCATGGTTGGTACCATCTGCTAATGTCTGTATCCAGAGCTGTGATGCTGGTGTATCATCTGTCATTAACCTACAGCAACATGTGCTTAAGGAGTGTGGGGGCTACTCATGTGAGTGAAGGTTGCAGGATTTCACCCAAATCACACATTCTGGACTCCTGCTTTCCAGAGCATAGAGCAGTGAGCAATACTTTTTTTTTTTGGCCAGTATTTCAAGTTTTCCAGTAAGCAAGTTTACTGGGTTGCACAGTGTGAAAGGAAATAATCCTCCTTCGTGTTTCCAGTAAGAATGAGAGATTTGGAAATTAAAATGCATTTCCTAAAGACTTTTTAAGACTTTTATTATGTTGGTAACTAGAAAGGGGAGCTTTTTAGCAGGGAGTAGGTGGTGAGGGCTTTGCACGGATCTGCTCTGTAACAGATCAAACCAGGTGGCTTGATATTATTTACTGGGTGAAAGAATTGTAGTCTTGGTCTTAGACATCAAAGTTCCTCAACCAAGTTGTCCCTGGGAGATTTACTTAAGTAAGAGAAGGGAAGAGAAAGGAAGGTCAGACCACTTTTTATTTGACATATAATTCAAGTGCCTCTCTTGGGAGGGTAGGTACCTATGGTTAATGGGGAGAGGAGTGCTCCCAGGTAATGTTCAAAGCAGGAGACAAACTTTGATTTTCTAGAAGCATTTCCTTTAAGGATGGCTCTGGGACAGTATCCTTTTCATGAGGGTTGTTTCAATGCCTGAGCTCATCAGCACAATTCTCTTGGATTAAAAATTAACTGTGGGCTTAGACTGCACTTGGTAGAGTCAAGTAAACTTCAAGTTTGCTAACTGGCAAGATGTCAAAACTAGACTGCATCACAATAATGGCCTTCAGGCAATGCATAACTCCCACAGTAAAAGTCATTCTAGGTTATAGAGATCATTATTGATCATATTGTTCCTTCTAGCTACTGAAATAACTGCTGGGAAAGGTGGTAAGGCTGTGCTTGAAGGAGGATTTGAGTGTGAGAATAAGACCCTTTTTATTTAATTTTTTTGCTAATGCAGCCAACTGGACTGAGAAACCCTGAACTGGAAAGAAACGGACTTTATCCTCCCTACACTGGTTTGCCTGGATCTCGACATTCATGCATCTACCCTGGACAATACAATCCATCCTTCATTAGTGACGAAACCAGAAGAAGAGACTATTTTTAGCAGGGAGTGGAGAGGGAGTGGAAGATTGACACAGTTTTGTGGCCCTTGATCCCCAGGTACAATCTGTCTCCTGGTAGTTCAGCCCACAACAATCTTACTCTTCCCATTTAACAGGACGGTCTTTGAACTCCACACCGAGCTGCTGCCCTGAAGAACGGTTAGACTTGCTGAGCAGCAGAGAGGAGGAGGGAATGGCTCAAGGTGCACATCACTAAAAGACCCAGATGGAAGTTAACACATGTCGTCTGGATTTGTTCTTTGCTCGTCTTCATTCTTTATGCTACATGGCAAGCATGGATCAGTACAGGCAGATGAACTGTGCCCATCACTCTGCATTGAATACCACTAAGGAGTGTTTTATTTACAAATCTTGCTCATTGTTGACTGTGCTTGTCTTTTTAGCCAACCTTCATGCAAAGTTTCACTGTGCAGCTGCTTTTGGTAGGGCAAACTCATCCACTCCCTTTTCCGTTGCTGCATTGCTTTCTGCTTCGTACATGACAAGGAAGCTGGCTTGTCCCCTGGACCTCACCTTCTTACTGGTAGAAGTTCTCCAGATGGCAGGGTCCTTGCTGAAGCCTGATGCCTGGCAATGTTGGCTGAATTCATGGGCTGATTGTCTCCAAGGATTACAGGAAAGTTAGTCATACCACTGCAATTTTCGCTGCAAAAAGACAGAGCTGACCCTAAGCACTGCTTTGAAAACTTCCTCTATACAGGGAAGAGTCCGAGTATGTTGTTGTTTTGTCAACCAGTGTTCTTCAGAAGTGATGCCACTACCTGGCATCATGGTGCTTCCATATAGGATCTTATGGGGCTCCGTTTCCCTGCAGGGATTTTAAATGCCTGTAGAAACAGCAATATAATGTTAAATAATTGCTCACAGGGAAGAAAAATATGAGCTACGAATTCAGCATGCTCCTTACGAGGAATCTGGGAAGGAGCAATAATGCTAGAGCCCTGGCTGGGCAGGTGGAACCTGAATTCTGGGCACTGCAGGTGGGACATACTTTTGAAGTTTCCACAGCCTACCTCAACTTCTGTAGGAGCTGTGGAGGCTTTCACTACATCAGAAAATAAGGCTCACTGCAGTCAGTTGCATTTAAGGGAGAGAAAAACATGACACTTTCAATCCCAGTGGAGCAAATGTCACTTACGTTGAAGAGTTTTTTCTTTCTTCCATCCTAGTTTCGAGTGATTCAGACCAGGCAGGTTTCCTCACGTAGGTGTATTAATTCATATTAATCACCTTGGCAAAAGCTGGATAATGTAAGTTATTACATTTCTCACCAAAGGTCAGACTGAAAGCTATTGGACTGTATTCTGACCTGAGCTGGGTGTTGAAGGAGGTGTTATTAATGAAGTACATTTGCTGTTTATCTTTACTGCAGAGTTAGCTTGAGTCATCCAAACCCTGTCCAGATACAGATCCTTCCCCTGAATGTGAATGTGCTTTTAATTCAAGGTGGCTGCTTGTATGAGGATAACAAATACCACAAATCCATAGCCATTAACCCACCATCTCTGTAGTGCACACATAAACTAGTTTCACTGAAGGGCACATACCCTCTGATATTTCCTTCTCATCCACAGTGCTCGAAAAGACACAGTGCCTACAAGTTCATAAGGTAGCTCAACTCACTGAAGCGCTAAGGACCACGGGATACATGCCCCAAAGTGCCTAACCCCAACTGAGAACAGCAGTTCAGATGCTGATGTGTTGCGTGGTTGCTTCATGGAGGTAAACCTGGGGTGATGAGGAGCCTTCCATCAGGGAGGAGGTAGTGATACTTGCGTCTTATGGATGCTGTGAGTCCCCAGATCCTTTCCCAGCACTTTGAAGGCTGTTGTGTTCCCTATAAAAAGTGAGCAACAGCTACCCAGAGGAAGGGGAGCTAGCACTAGGCAGTCATCAGCTGCATGGGCTAAGAGGTTTCTGGTCCCTGCTCACATTTACCTCTATTTGCTCAAAACCACGAGGCAGGAAAGGCACCACAAATGTGCTTGAGAAGACATAGTTGGTGCACCAGCCGTAGCACACAAATGCAGTGTGTTTTTATGTCTCACCCCTTATCTACTATGTAGAAGCAGCAGTGTGGGCTTGCAGAAAAACAAATCTTTACAGATGCCTAGGGCAGTATCCTTTGCACTTACATGATCTTATGGTGATGATGCGTGCAACTTCATGCCTGTCTGATCCATAATGAACCTCTCAGGTGGTAGTACGCAGCTTATCTCAACTGTAGGGAGGAAATGAATGGATGCTGATGGGAAGTACAGCTGAATAAGAAGCTATATTTAATGAAAACTCTAGTTACAGTATCCAAAATAGCGTAATGGATGAAGCACAAGAACTAGCTGTTCCCTGCCATGCTGATCAGTGTTTCCAGTCCGTGAATGATGTTCTTCTCCCTTTCATTGGCAGCCAATATCTTAATTACACAGGATCCATTGGATGATGTGAACTAAGGGCTTGACCCTGCTGTGCTGTCCTTCGAAGAGGACATTGGCAGGGTTGTTTCTGTGTGGGTGAGTTGCCTCTGTTTTTGAGAGTGCCTAGGACAGAAAGGACTGCCTTTCCCATGGTATGGAGGAAGGTTTTGTCTGTGTCGCAAAAGAAAGGGAGAAGCTGGGATTCATGCTAAATATAAATCCAAAGCATATAGACGAGCACTGGGCTCTGACCCTGCTTACTAAAGCAGCTTAGCAAAAAGGGAGAGTGTCCCAGCAATGACGGTAGGATTTAATCTCATGCCAGCATTTCTTCAAATAAGGAAGAGTTTAGGTACACGCTTATAGGCAGTTATGTTTAATTGCTTGGATAGCTCAAAGACTGGGAAACGTTCCTGTGTGTGCCAAGTACAAAGGACAAAGTAGGAAATGCCAACTCACAATTGCCTATCAATCCTTCTCTATAAAGAGTAACATGGACTATATGAACAGAACTCCTGGTCTGTATCTCACAGCAAATGCAAATTGCAAGGGATTTGAGTGGAAATGAGATAGGGCTGTTCCTAATTGAGATCACACGAAAGTTTGCAAGTAATTATTTTTAATTTCTTAATGATCTTCAAATTCTTCTTAATGCTGTATCTGGAGTGAAAGGGTCTCAGTAAACCCAGCAGGATTTTCTGAGTGAGGACTGCAAAACAGCCTTTTCCAAAAAGAGAACACTGAAATTTTCTCTCTGCCAGAGCAAGTAAACATTGGGAAATTTCTTATGAGAATGTATCCATTGCAGCCTGACTTTCCTTTTAGCTTTGGTAAGAAAGGAGTCATAGAGCCAACGCATAGTCCACAGGAGGAGGAAGAAGGTCCCTCTCCTGACCTGCAGCACCTTCTCTGGGTGTCCTAGGAGGCCCTGCTCAGCAGGCAGGAGAGGATTTAGGCAGGTGTCAGTACCAGGGCAAGTGCAGGTGCTTTCCCACGCGGTGACCAGGAAATCTTTGCGGAGCTGGCAGATGCAGCCCGAGGTGATTCAGCGCCCAGGCTTCCACCAGCCCAGCCACATTCTGTGCTGCAATGCTTCCATCTTCACCCAAGCCTCACCGGCTCCCAGCTCCAGTAGGGCAGAAGGGGCGGGTGCAGTGCGGTGTGTTTTCCTGCAATTTATGACAGTTATTTTACCCCAGTCATTTACGACTACATCCCAGCAGCACTGGGCTTGCCCAGCCGTGGCAGGGATGTGACGTGTTTCTGTGCAGCTTGCCTCTGTTAAAGCTGCTGCCGGGAGCCTCTCCGTTTGCTTCCATCTCTGCCATAAACTAAGGACCCTTTGGCAGTGGAGTGGGATTTGTCGCTCCTGTCGGATGTGAGAGGGGTCTTCACATGTCCTCAAGCCCACTTGCAAATGTAGATGCCTCTCTGTTCAGTACCTATCTCCCCGTAGGATGTCTAAATAAATGCAGCTTATTTCTCAGACTATTTAGATTACTTTTAGCTACCCCAAATTGCAAATTTTGAGGATACTGGATGTTTCTGCCAAGCGGAATTGCTCTGTACTGTCCAAGAGGATAAGATAGAAGTGGCATGTTTCTTGTACGGAGGATGCAAGTGGTTCAGACAGATGTGGGGAAAGGAAGAAAAACTATACCAACACCGCACAGAGATCTGCTCTTGCTTCTGGCTGCTGTGGAAAGCTGGGGGAGCAGTCAGCAAGGGCCCACGGGCGGTTGTGTGGGTGTATTTTTGATTAACTTTGGAAAAAATGCTAATTCTGTTGCTTGACAGGAAAAGATGTGGGAGGCCCACATGTGTTGCTATGGTGCTCTGCCAATTGTGCTGACAAAAGCCCCTCACTCACAGAAATACCCTCGGCATCCAGCCTAGGAGAGGCAGCCCCAGTGAACAGAACGGCGAAACGCAGATTTGAGGGATCGTTCAAAAGGGAGGCTCATACACGCAGCCTTCCCGTGTCCCTCCGTGCGCTGCTGCTCGCCCGGGCCAGCCCTCCCAGCAGCACTGGGAAAATCAGGGGCCTTTTGCATACTGTTGAAACCTCACAGCACTGAACTGGGCTGTAGGAGGAAAAAACAAGACAGGGGTATAGGGATGCCCTTTGCCTTCCGCATTTAAAGCATTAGGTAACACAGCAGCAATGAATCTCATTGCTGTTGTGGCATTTCCCCTAAGTCCCACTGTCACGGTCATATACTGAGTCACCCCTTGTGACCAGCCCTCTAAAAGGTATTTGCCTCCAAACTGAGCGGTAGTAAAAGGCTTTTAAAAATAACAATAAATTACAGTTGGAGAGAGGTGTTTGTCACTGTGAAACTGTTTGTGCCAATACTTGCAAAGGTTGTTTGCTGGGGCCTGAGTGAGCAGCAGAGCAGGTTTGGACATTGCTGCGGACACGCCAAGTGCTTCCCCAGGACTTGTCTCTAATGCTGGTCAATGGCCATATCCGTTCCAAATCCAGCTGGACTTCCCATTCCCTCATAGTGATCTTTAATCTTTAGTTTTCTTCCTTAAATTAACAAGAACGGATGCATTTTACTTAA